CTCAGGGCTGCACGCTGCTGATTGGCTGTGTGTGTGTGAGGGAGACGCAGGCAGACATCCGCCTCAGACATGGCCGAGTCCGCCGACAAGCTCTACCGGGCCGAATACGCCAAGAGCGGCCGCGCCTCCTGCAAGAAGTGCGGCGACAACATCGCCAAGGAGTCGCTGCGGCTGGCCATTATGGTGCAGGTAAGTGTGTGCTTGGGGGACACAGTGCCCTGTAGGGGCCCTTTACGTAACCCATCTTCCACCATCACACAGAACCACTCTCTCCTTCCCATGCATCCCCTACTTCCTCCTTCCACCTCCTTCCCATGCATCCCCTACTTCCTCCATGGCGTGCACCCCCTTCTTCTCATCACCTGCACTCACATCTTCCCCTATGACGTGCACCCCCTTCTTTCATCACCTGCACCCATATCTTCTCCCGTGACATGCACCCCCTTCTTCCTCCATTGTGTGCACCCCCTTCTCTCATCACCTGCACCCACATCTTCCCCTATGACGTGCACCCCCTTCTTTCATCACCTGCACCCATATCTTCTCCCGTGACATGCACCCCCTTCTTTCATCACCTGCACCCATATCTTCTCTCCTGACGTCCCCCCCCTTCTCTCATCACCTGCACCCACATCTTCCCCCATGATGTGCACCCCCTTCTCTCATCACCTGCACCCACATCTTCTCCCATGATGTGCACCCCCTTCTCACCTGCACCCACATATTCCCCTATGGCGTGCACCCCCTCCTTTCCTCCTGACATGCACATACAGGGTTCTGTACTGAAAAAAGTAGGAAGTGCTGCATTTTTGTGATGCACTACACTGCACCTGATGGCGCTGTGGTGCATAGTGGTGAATGAAATCTTGTTTTGTAAATTGTCAATAAAGTTACAGAAAAGTAAACAGTGTCATTACAACTCATCATACCGCTCCTTCACAGCGCACATGGTACAACATGCACTGCTATGAATGGGCCATCATAGCATGCAGGAAATATAGGAGCTGCGGGGAGGCAGCATTTAAAAGGTGGGCGATTGTATGGCCTTTCCATCTCCCCCAAAGTGCACGGATACAAAACCTGGGGGGGCTGCAGCTGTGCTAGTAGCAAGTAGATTTCAAAGATAAGTGCAGTGTCCTTTAGGCCCCTTTAAGCTAATATCGCTGATACTTACTGAATACCCAGTGGCCCGGTCTTCATTGTTTACTTCCTGCAACCAAGTTTCCTTCTCCTGGTACATCTCTGTTATGGGTCTTGTCCCCTGGCCGGGGGTAAAGGTAGACGGCACCCCATAGGAGTCGGTGGAGATTTACGGCACAGGAACGGCCAAGGCCATCCATGTGCAGGATGTGAACGGCCAATCAGGAAGCCGGGCAGCATGTAATGACTCGCTGCCCGGCTTCCTAATACCGGAAGCTTAGGCACCGGAGAATTTGGGCGAGTACGAGTACTCGCCCAAACACTTGGCACAGATACTAGTATCGGTGCATCCTAACACGTAAGGAATTGGATCCGCCAACAGCCGGGCGGCTGGCATTTTTCTAAAGCAGTTAGTGATGGTGAGTGAGTCCCCCATATCTCTTTTGGTACCAGAATGGGTGCCATTGTATCAGAGCTTGCCAGACTTCTGTGGGTGTGTGTGGCATGCAATTTTAATTTTTTGCAACTTTGGCTTTATTATATATATAATTATTTTTTTTTGCTCCCAGCTCAAAGTCCAGAAAAACATGTATCGGTGCTCCACGTAGTAGCAGTAGTATAGAAAATGTTAAGTAGACACTCAGATGTCTTCAAAAGGAGTAAATGTTTAAAGCGGACCTTTACCCCCTTTCGCTTTTTGATTGATTCCGTTTAGGGCTGCAGCTAATGATTATTTTAATAATCGATTAGTTGCCAGATTATTTTCACCGAATCGATTGGTTGCATTAAAAAAAAAAACTCTCTCTGTCCCCCACCAGCTCCCCCCCCACTAACTGACCATGAGAATAGTTGCCAACTATTCTCGCTATCGATATAATCGATTATTTGTTGCATCCCTAGTTCTGTTGCCATCCAATGCAGCTAAAATTAGGGCAAGCAGTATTTTTTCCGACGGCATCGGAATGGACTGCACTGGCGTGAACAGAGCACCAGAAATTTGAAGTGTTTATATTTCAGCATTTCTGCCCATAGTCTGGTCACAGGTAATCAGCCAGTGTGTATGTGGCCATAGTACAGGGTGCAGCTGCATTCAGCCGTCCTACCTTTTTCCTATTGAGAGCAAAGCACAGGTTCAGGTTAATGTTATGGATTGCCTGACACAGTACACACTTCTCAGCACTACTCTCTGCAGACTGCCAGCATGTCTAGGCTTGTCTGTGATTGTATGGAAATGTAAAGATAGCCATAGATAACAGATGAGGGTCATCCCGGTCACTGCAAGATAACACTGCCAAACAATGCTGCAAGTCAGTTTGGAATTTTTATTCTGATGGGTACACAGGAATGGAATCTTGGCCAAATCAGCCGGAAATGTATCAGTGGGTGACCCTATCTCCTTGATGGAAGTCGATCATTAGACTGACTTCTTTTGAATATAATAGAAGCCACCAGCACTCGATGTGTGCAAGAAGTAAAGCACTTTTTATTCAATTGTCACATGCGTCATACAGCCAGTGCTTTACTTCTTGCACACATCATCGAGTGCTGCTGACTTCTATTATGGACTGTATCTGACACGGCGCCATCCGTGTTGTCACTTCAAGCACCAACCTTACATCGAGGTCTGTATGGCAGGGGTGCCCTTTAGGTAGGTCGCGATCTACTAGTCGATCGCAAAGCGGTGCAGCTGAATTCTTCAGACGCTGCAGGCGGGAAGGGGCGGGACACCTCTCCCGGTCTGCACATTCGGCCACACGAACACCGTGGGAGGACAGGACACCGCACCTGAGATGAGACCCAAAAAACTGCTGGAGTGCCGAGTTTGAAAATAGATCTCCAGTCGAAAAATTGTGGGCACCCCTGCTGTATAGAGTGCAGGTGATTTCGTATTGTTGACTTCTTTTGAAGGGACACGCTGGAAACTTGTCAGCTGAACATTGCTTGCAGCCAATCAACCAAACCAATGTTCTGGTATTGTGACAATGGGTGCTGCTGTCAGAATCTGGGCCGGATTAACATAGGGGCTACTGGAGCACTAGCTCCAGGCCCACCACTGAAAATAGGCCCGGCCAGCTCAGATCGCCTCGGTATGCCCAATGGTCATCCAGGTCGGCTGGGCTGAACACAATCAGGCAGAGGCCCTGGCAGCTCTCTAATCAGCTATATTAGGAGCTTATGGCCACCTAATTAGAGAACTGCCTCTGCCGCTTCCTGTCCAACTCACTGACAGTACCAGGCCCATGATGTTCTTAATTCGGCCTTGGTCAGAATACAATGTACACAGCAGGAAATTTGTTCATCCACTGTACCCAGCTTTAGAAAGGAGTGGTCTGAGGCCCGATGCAGACCTACGCGATCGTGCACAATGCAGACAGCGATTACCGCACTGCCCCATTGATTTCAATAGGGTGACATCCACGCGGCAATCGCAAAAAAAAGAGGTACAAGTTAGAAAATAATGGCACCCACAGCGCGATCGGTGCACACCTTGGCGACTCCTGAGCGCACGGCATCGTGCACCAGCCCTGAAGGAGACAAAATCATGCTTGCTTGTTGTATGTAAACAAATAAACCCCAATAGTTCCTCTTGTGTTTCCACCATTTACTGTCACTGGTTAGCTTTGTTACATTGTTACTGCTCATGTAGTGATTTTATTTTCCTAGTTTTCAGAGCTCTGCAGCATCTGATGAGTGTGAAATCGCAGGACTGGTTCCTGTTTTATCTCAGTTTTGGATTGATTCCTAATCTCTGATTGCTGTCTGTCTGTGAACAGCTCAACTGTATTTGCAAGCCTGGAAAGTCCCCCAGCCACATCCATGCATTCTTTATTGTGGCTTCTTGTGGTGCTTCTTTGGTGTGCAGCCGCCTTAATTGTATCTGTGCACTCGTTTTTGATTTTGCATCCTGAAATTTGCAGAGCTATCCCTTTGTGCACAGCAATAGTGCCGTATGCACTATAATGGTAGGTTCACACCTAGGCGATTCAGATGCTGAGCTGTTTTTTGCACGTTTTAGATCGTGTGACTGTTCATTGAAAACTGTGTGTTTTTGAAAGCATAGAGATGTCTATGGGACCCAAACCGCCCAAAAATAGCTCCTGCACCTTTTCGCACGACAGGCGATTTTGTCCGCGCGTCAAACTGCAAAGGTGTGAACAACCTCCATTGACTTCAATGCGAATCTGTGTTTTACGCGATAAATCGCCTAGGTGTGCACTGGCCCTAAGCCTCCTATGTTCTGTTGTAACAAGATGGGTAGCACTGATTCCCCTCATAGGATGGCAGTGCGCTTGTGATTTTTGTTGCCAGTCTCTCAAAAATACTTGTCCAAGGACTAAAGCGGGAGCCCAATCTATTTATTAGAGGTATTTATATAACACTGATAATTTACGCAGCACTTTACATACTATTCATTCACATCAGTCCCTACCCTCAAGGAGCTTACAATTTAAGGTCCTTATCTCACATGCATACATATGAGGGCCAACTTAGAAAGGAGCCAATTAACCTTTCAGCATGTGTTTGAAGTGTGGGAGGGAACCCACACAAGCACAGGGGGAACATGCAAACTCCATGCAGATAGTGACCTGGCCAGGATTCGAACCAGGGAACACCAGTGCTGCAAGACTGAAGCACTAACCACTACACCACTGTGCTGCACATATAAATGGTTCTATGGACTCTGCTATCTACATGTCCTAGTGGCAATCTACTTATTGTGATACAAAAAATAATTTTAACCCAAACTGTATTTATCTGCGCTAAGAAGCGTTTCTCATTGGTCAGGTGACTGCGCTGACCAATGAGTGCTTGCAATTTTTGTGAGCGTTATTCAAAATCCATGGTGCAGGGCTGCTCTGGACTGCAGTACAGGGTACAGATAGTACCGGATGGATGGGAAGGCCCGTTCGCCGAAAGGCAAGTAAAGCGGGAAAGGGGGCCCGATTTGAGCGGGTAATTCCATTAATTGGGAAAGTGAACTTACCCTTTAATGTACATTGTGCAAGTTAGAGAGCGCTGCTGCCACACAATGGAATGAGGGCAGCACA